GATGCAGATTTATCTAACACTTATATACTTATTACTTTTAATCACCTCATATAGATAGATGTTTTACTATTTATTCGTTTTTTATGTATTTATATATACATAAAACACATGCACACAAACTAACACACACACAAACACACAGACACGAATGCACGCACGCACGCACTCACACAGGCACGAGCACGCACACTCGCGATACACGCACCCACGAACGCACGCACACACATACAGACACACACATACACACATACACACACACACACACACACACACACACACACACACACACACACACACACACACACACACACACACACACACACACACACACACACACACACACACACACACACACACACACACACACACACACACACACACACACACACACACACACACACACACACACACACACACACACACACACACACACACACACACACACACACACACACACACACACACACACACACACACACACACACACACACACACACACACACACACACACACACACACACACACACACACACACACACACACACACACACACACACACACACACACACACACACACACACACACACACACACACACACACACACACACACACACACACACACACACACACACACACACACACACACACACACACACACACACACACACACACACACACACACACACACACACACACACACACACACACACACACACACACGCACACGCAAGCACGCACACGCAGCACGCACACACGCGACACGCACACGCACACGCACACGCACACGCACACGCACACACACACACACACGCACACACACACGCACACGCACACACACACGCACACGCACACACACACGCACACACACACGCACACGCACACACACACGCACACACACACACGCACACGCACACGCACACGCGCGCACTCCCTCACGTTAAGTAGTAAGTTTGACAATTATTGTTTCGTTTGAAACATTGTTGTTAATTGGAACTTTTATTGTTAAGTCATAAAATTTGGAGAGGGCGCCGATTGCTAACATACAGGTATAATTCCTAGTTCAGTAATCAGACTTCACATATTCACTACATAATTATCAATAAAGTTTATTTTATTTATCGGGATCACGTCGTCGAATATCGAACAAACATTCGTCTGAAATCAGGTCGTCTCTAATTGGGGAGGGGAAGACTAAATCTAAAAGTTTAACTCTTAGAAGACACACGTATGCGGGTTTACCGCTAAAAAGAACCCCTTTGTCGTATCTCTTCAATCTCAGGGCACTCACCTAACTGTATCAGCACCGGGATCCTCGATGTTGACATATCGAATGACGTAGTCTCGTGGTCACTTTGAAGGGGAGGCTGAATTGGGCTATAAAAACTTTAGCACTATCAGCAGAGCGGGACAGTATTTCATTCCGGCACACCGCTTGTAACCTTACAAGGCGCAGGTACGGTCTCGCATGAAATTCTCATTTAGCACGATGAGTGCTGTGAGGAATTGTTCAGATTAATTCCGAACCCCAAATTTCTGGACATCGCGACAAAATCCATCCATCACCACTGTTTTCTTCGTGGAGGTGAGAGAAAAGGAAAACGATCGCTACGTGCTAAAGCATTTAACCGCCTGTCCCTGAAAATTTGTAGAATTTATAACCGCGCTGCCGTCGGTAAATAGTATCTGCGAAGTTAGCTATTTATGAGTACAAGTGGCTGAAGTTAGTTGAATAATGTAAAAATTTAAACATAAAAATATAATAATATAGTAAAAATTTTATCGAAAATAATCGTGCTCCATGATTATTATTTTAAGAAAATAAATAATATTAAATCTGTAATAATTAAAAATTTATATTTGTAATAATTATAAAACATAATTTATAATTTATTTATTAATAAATAATAATAACTATAAATAATATTAATTTCGTTTTCCTTTTTTTCTTTGAATAATGAAAAATGTTGATTGACGATTTCAAACTAGCGCACAACAGCCCGCTTTTATTGAGACAACTTTGCGATCGCAGCGCCTCACTTATTTTGTCCATATTTCTGGGACGTTATTTTTTGCGGCGATCGTTCTCCTTTTCTCTAACCTCCATGGTTTTCTTTCTGGAATCGTTTACCACCGGGGATTTTTCCGGACTGATACGACTTAGGGACCTTCAAGAAGCCCCTACTACAATTAAAAAAAAACATGGAAACTAGCAGAAATAATAAAAAACAATTATTAGAAAGATATTTTATTTAACTGTCTCAACAATCAAATATTTACACAGTTACGATTATTTACACATTGTACAATAGAAAATAACGAGCTTCCTCCTATTTACAAATGGTTACAGCGAGCAAGCCTGCTTTTGGACCCACCAATATGCTTCGATGTACACGACTCTTACATATTTTTGTACGTACACCTTAATTACGAGTGATTTTAATCGATGATCGATGCAGTAAAGGTACCTAATACTGCTAAGCCAAGTAAATCAACATAAAATATTATTGAACATCAGATATAAACAAATCATTTAAAGGTAAAAATATTTATTTTCCAGTTCACTTGGATTTGGTGACTAGTTAAAACAAATAAGTTCTTTGATATAAAAAATATTCAATTTTTTTTATAAGTGGTCCATTGTATGAAACAACTTCTTCTTATTGTAGTACTTTTTTAAAATTATAATCCCTATAATGCCAATTATAGGGATTAAAATATAGTGTCCGTAAAACGCCATGCCTGTTTGTACAACAGAAATGTAGCGCCAATTCGAAAATATGATCATGTTTAAAAGGACTAAAACATACGCAAATTATGTTTCTTTAGTATAATTAAACCTGTAGTTATGTTTAGAATTAAATAAATTATGATCATGAAATGAAGGACAAACTTAAAAAGTAGTACCCATTACATAAAATGTACTTAAAAACAACTTTATATTTAATAAACTTCAGTTTGTAAAATATAAATAGCATGGTAGTACCTTAAATATGATTTTCTAAAAAAATATAATGTGTACGTACTTAAACATTTTAATACTTTTCGTAAAGACTCATACTCACAGAACAAACAAGATTTATGAAGAATTTAAATAAAACGTCAAAAAAAAAGGGCAAAGTACATATATAACCAAATTTTTTATCCAAACGAATATTCAGAAGAAAAGTAGCGTATACACTACATATATACTATGTTATCACAATTATTGTTATACACTATATTATATACATTTATACACCACCACCAAGTACCTCCTAACATATATCTTCCATTTTACGTATTTAAATAAAAAACTAATTGTTGTAGCTGGTGTTGTTTTAACAACAATAATGATAATAATCTTACGACTAGATATAATTTTTTTAATAATGTTAGTCTTAATGAATATCATTTGTATTATTTTTAATGTCTTAACATAATTTTCTAATCTATTTACCAAAATACAAGAAACGAGTGTCGTAAGGGGTGATTATAGAACATTGGCATGGCAGTATTAACTGCCTCGTGTACACATCGCCAGACATACTGTAGTCGTCATTCCGCTTGCTACACACGTGGGGATTGCCAATAATTCTTACTCAAAAAAAACAAAATAAGACTAAGTAAAAAGTCGAAAAAAAAACAAAATAAAAAAAATATTATTTAAAAAAACAAAATAATACTAATTAAAAAGTCGAAAAAAAAAAATAAGACTAAGTAAAAAGTCGAATAAAAATAAGACTAAGTAAAAAGTCGAAAAAAAAAATAAGACTAAGTAAAAAGTTGAAAAAAATAAGACTAAATAAAAAGTCGAAAATAAAAACAAAATAAGACTAAGTATACTACATAAATAGTCTTTAGTAAAATGGCGCCCATGTTGTAATAGCGATGTATGCCACATTTATAAGCATTGCAAACACATTTCATATAATAAACCTACATAAAGGCGGTACCAGAAATAACATACTAATATTCATTATTATAAATGTAACAAGAAACACTTCCAACGTTTTGTAAACACTATTGTGCATAATATAATATATATTTTGCAATCTATACATACATAATGCTAATTATGTGTGTATAATCGCAATATATATATATATATATATATATATATTTAGATAGGATCGTAATTTGTCTAATGTGATAACATAATTTACCTAATTAAGTAAACATCAAAGTTATATATTGTTTTAATTAAATAATCTACATTAACTAAAAGAATTAAATTAACTGTACATCTTAAATAGATTGCTTAGAAGTTCTATTCATATAGAAAATTATATTTTTTATATCATTACAATAAACCCCTGTACTTGCATCTAATTCAACAGTCATGGACTAAAAGAACATATCTAGAATATTAATTTTTTAAGTTATATTTTAAGCTAGATCTAAAACATTTAAGTTTACTAAGGGATTTGTTTAAAATTTTTAAATAATTTTACTGAAAATATAGTGTACATATTTACACTTTGATTTAAAGTCAAAAGCAAAAAGAATTTAGTGTCATTATTGGTGAATATCGAGAGAGATACCATTTATATATGAATAAAGCAACTACTGGATTTTTTTTTCTAATATTGTACCACTAAGTTTCACTTCTTCATTTGTTTTTTCTATTTCTTCCAGATCAAAGTTATCCCCATTTATTACCTTTGTATATGCCAGAGACTCATGCTAGAGGTTTCAGTAAACTAGATCCGAGACTTCTTTCGTAAGAAGTTTTGTACACACTCATTATCACATATTCTCCTTTTTATCCCATATGGGCGTTATATGGGATCAAAATTTAGATGCAATGTCCCACTTGAGATACCACCATACGAAACACAACACAGCATTATGCTGCTATTTTTTAATAGTTTTCTGTGGGAGCGTGGGCTTTTCCTGGTCGAGCGAACCCAAACGTGCTGCAGCGGATCTCTAACCATTGGTCTTTACAGTAAACAAGGGGTTTACTTCGTGTACTATATCATGTGTAGCGACGTGACTTCTATCCGTCGCTGGCGTCGTCCTAGCTGTCGGCGTGTTCAGGTTCGATTTTCGCACCGGGCCGAATCATCACCAGCTTCTCATCGCCCTCGCCCGAAGTGTGGATGGTTTCTATGGTGAGCATCATCTTATCGTCGCAGCTGTCCTCACCGGAGTCCGAGTACATAGACTGTGTTGATGTTGCCACTTCCTGCAATAAGTGATTTTGTTAAAAACTAAATTTAAAATTTATGTTGCAACTTGATATCTTTGAAATGCACAATTGGACATACACTCAGCGTCACAAAAATCGCACCTCTCTGAGTTTGCGCGAAAAATGGCTGTAATGGCTAGAAACGAATTATATTTATATAAATATTGGTATGTTTGAAATGGGTATTTGAATAGCTTTACATTATTAATAAAAAATCATGAAATCATTAAAACATTTATCATTATAGAGCGGCAAAAATAAACACTGTCAAATGCTCGTTAGTAAGGACGATAGTTACACCACCTAAAAAGGGTATAAAAGGGTCGATCTGGATGAAATATGGGCTGCGCCCTCCTTTCTGCCAAGGAGGGTCGCGTTCGTATCCGGCTTAGAGATCTCTAGTCAGATCGTTAAGCCAATTCCTAAAAGGCGGTGTTTAGTGGGTAAAAGTCTCCACATAACCACGCAGCCGGCTGCGTGGTATGCTATGAGCATTCACCGCCTCCCTCCCCCGCTTTCCGGAGGGTTGCCCATATTTGCTTCGGGCGCAAAAAAAATGAAATATGGGTCAGTCGTAATTTAAACTTTGCAGTGAACACACGTGAACAAGTAACCCAAGTAAGAACAAGTAAAGATGGACACCAGCTCTGAAGAAGCCGCTCAAGTGATTGCCCTATTGAAATCGGGGATGCGGCAGTGTGACGTTGCTCGACGGTTTGCCCGACAGGGGGGGGTAACACTAGGTTTTAAGAACTTTTTTTGTATTTATTAAGTTTTTTTTAATTATTAATTTGTAAATTTGTACATAACCTGTCTTTTTCTTTAATGTCTCTTTCGTCTCGTTATAAAAGTAAAATTCAATTAAAATTCCTGAAAGCTAATGAAATTACCTTTCGAATGATACCCTTAAACCACAACATTGCCATTGGCCTGTTGTGTTAAAATAGTATTTAAATTATTTTTACGTTACGACGTACGATTACGTTACTTAGTACGCCGAGTGTAGTTACTATAATATGTATACCTAAGTTTTTAAGTTTCTCACCCACAGTCGGGTCAAAATGATTAATGTATTTAAAAATAAGCCTTAAGGTCTATTGTTTTATAAAAAAAAGTTAAAGCAAGCCATTATCGCACTGATACAAATGTCAATGTCATACAGTAGCTTTTTGGGTTTCATACTTTTTGCATAAATACATCTAATTTTAGGAGTCAATTCAAATCTTTATTTTTATAGGTTTCGTGGGTGGGTGGTTGGGACAATATCATTAATCAATCTTGTAAATAAAGATCCGTAAATATATTTTGACACCAACAGATATCAAATTAAATTAAAAAATCTGTATTAAAATGCAAATTAATTCCAAAATAAATGTCGAAATGCTTTAAGTATTATGCGGATAATGTTCTACACTGGCCTCTAAAAAAATCGATCCACCAACGTTTGTAGTTAAAATTTGTCCTATGGGATTTTACCACAATCGATAGATATTTTTTATCATGATAATGTAATAATGCAATTATATAGTTGTGTAAAAATGTAAAAAACGGCGCGTGAAACGGGATATTTTACATACAAATGTGATGAGACATTGAAACCATAACATTTTACAAAATGTACGATTTTACTGTGAAGGTCGTATATTTACATTTTTTGACAGTTAAAAAAAATATAAACCTTACTTAACTCGTGTTTACTCTCTGCTTATCACCGCTTGCATGCAAAGGGAACAGATCAGCTTTTTTATGTCTTCTTGGGGTGTCTAAGGAGGCTTCCAGTTCTCCAACGATCCAACGTCTCGGTAACAGGATTTCGGGCTCTAACCTTTATTTTATCTGGTCCCAGAGATGCTCGATGGGTTTTAAGTCCGGACTACTGGCTGGCCACTGCATAACTAGAATTCCGACCTCCTGAAGATATCCATTTAAAATTCTAGCGACGTGCGGTCTTGCGTTATCATGCATGAGTTGAAAATTGTCCCCAATATACCCAGCGTAAGGTATCAGATGAGGTTTAAAAATGTCCGTAATGTAACTTTCAGCATTAACCGCACGATTGCGAAAGAAAACCAACTCAGTACATCCGGTTAAAGATATGCCAACCCAAAACATTGTAGAGCCTACACCAAACCGGACTGTTTCTCTTATGCAAAACTGAGCATAACATTCTCCTGGTCTTCGCATAACGTTGACATCCATCAGAGCAATACAAGTGTCATTCAGCTTTCATTGCCGAAGAAAACTGTCGCCCATTGACCAAGATTTCATTGCACGTGTTACTTAGCAAATTCTAACCTTGCTTGCCAATGAGATGCAGTGAGCTTTGGTCCCGTCACTCGCTTGTATGGTGTCAGGTTTTGCTACCGAAGTCTTCTTCTCACCGTATTATCACTTACAGACACTCCACGAGTTTCCCTCAGCCTACCCTGAACATCAACAGCAGAAAGATGCTGATTTCGCAAAGTCAAAGCAATAAAACGGTCATCCGTCGGGTTTGAAACGTCCTCTTCCAGACCCTGGTCTCAAATCCGATCGAGCATCTCTGAGACCAGATAAAAAGAAAGGTTAGAACCCGAAACCCAGTTCCCGAGACGTTGCATCAACTGGAAGCCGCCATAACATAAGAATGGGAACAGACCCACGAAGACAAAAAAACTGATCCGTTCCCGTAATAAGCGTATGCAGGCAGAGATAAAAGCAATATGAGTAAACACCTTATATTAGAGTAAGGTTTATAATTTTTTAAATGTCATAAAATGTAAATAGAATTAAGATCGCTTCACAGTAAAATCGTAAATTTTGTAAAATGTTATGGTTTCAATGTCTCATCACATTTGTATGTAAAATATCCCGCTTCATACGCCGTTTTTTAGTTTTCTACAACCCTATAATTGCATTATTACATTCAAGATAAAAAATATCTATCGATTGTGGTAAAAACCCATATCACACTTTTTTGCGAACAAAACGTAGATGGGTCGATTTTTTTGGGGGCCAGTGTAGAAGAACAGCAATATTACATATTATAAATTTCATAATTATAGAAATAATTCTGTAGTATAGTAGTAATAATCTGTCCAATTGTTACGAGCTTAGGGTTCGTGACAATAAAAATTGCCGATAGAATTACCAAAATTAACACTTTAATTCACTTTACACTAATTAAACTTAAAACACTAATAATTAATCACACTGGTTCACTTTATTTTGCTCCGAAGCTTCGCTTGTCTCGCCAAATTCAATACTTCCACGATCGCACCTTGCAGCGCCTATAAATACACATTAGCACCGAAACATCCAGAACATTCGCGCACCAATCGACAAGGCGTCGAAAGTTCGAGTGTCGGCTTCTAGAAGCTTAGTTCTTCGTTTCGACACCACATGACGCTGTCGGTAAAAAGATTAGTCTCAAAGCTCCCTGACACTACATGACGTCAATTTAGGCGCGCAACACTGCCCCCTCCTAAGACATGCTCGTCCCGAGCATTATCGGCCCCATAATAACGCACCAAGCGATCCACATGGACGATCTTAGGAGTCCCTCTTGCGCCTTTCTGTATCGGCTCCGCAATGTCAAGGGCTATCCTATCCCATAGTGCACCAACATTGTACAATTTCGATGCTCCTCTACTACGTGTCTGAGGTCCCCTCACAGCCGCACAACTTGTACATGTACGACACCAATCCTCGACATGGTCACGATAATGGACCCAGTAAAACTGTTCTCGGACCTTCAGTAGAGTTCGTTTAACTCCCATATGGACTCTTGAATGACCCTTTTGGCACAGCTGTAGAACATTCGGCACTTTAGCTTTAGGGACAACCATTTGCAAACGACAGCTGTCTCCTCGACCACTGTCCCATTTACGGCACAGGACTCCATCCTGAATCAGTAAGCTGTCCCATTGGGCCCAATAGCTTTTCGTGGTTGAACTCATCGCTGAGACGTCGCTCCACTTAGGCTTGGTAGCACGGGCCTTCATCCATTCCAGAATCGGCTTGATGTCCGGATCTTCCTGCTGTGCATGTCGCAGGCTGTCCTTCCACTCGTTGCTGAGGTGGTCTGTCCTGAGCATCCTCACGGATACCACTTCCTTACTCTCTTACCTAGTACAAAGTTTCCAATCTTCAGGACAAGGTCTTCTTGACAATGCATCTGCGTTGCCATGAGATTTCCCGCTCCGTAAAGTCGTATCCCGGCTGCTGCTGGGCGGTGATATTAGCCGCACTTCTCTTCTGAGATCGTTCACCTTCCCTTTCTAGGGTTCGCTTAGGGCAGCTGGATCGAAGATGGCCCCTTTCCCCACAGCCGTAGCACCTAGGGCTGTATCCTTTATTGTGGTCGCGAACCGTAACTGCTGCAACCTCCCTAGCGTGAGGGGAACGATGATGCTGCCACCGCCAGGCGGTGCCGTTAGCTGCACTACCCTCTCGAGATCGATCAACTTCCCTTTTTACAGGTTCGCTTAGGGCAGCTGGATCGTAGATGGCCCTTTTCCCCACAGCCATAGCAACTAGGGCTGAATCTTTTGTTGCGGTCGCGAACTGTAGCTGCTGCGATCTCCCTGACACGATGGGAACGATGATCCTGCCGCACGGCTTCCACCTCCAGTGCATGGGCCAAGGCATCCTTAAGCGTCTCGTGGTGCCCGAGCCTCACAGCAGCTCTGACTTCAAGGTCGCGGATGCCGTCGATGAATGTCTGAACCAGGTTCCCTACAATGAGCGCAGGTACAGACTGGTATGTTTTTCGAACCATCTTCTCCACCTCAAGGGCCCACTGCTGCAGGTTTTCGTTGCTGCGTTGCACGCGATCTTTAAGCTGCGCGCGAAAGACGTGCTCCAGGTGAGCGTCACTATATCTCGCCTCCAGCGCCTCAAGGAGCTGCTCGTAGGTCACTTTCTTACCGAGGGCTTCCAACACAGTTAAGGCTTGGTCGCGCAGGTCTAGTATGAGAGCAGTCATGGCCTGACTTTTATTCCAGCCGTTCGCCTTCATAACAGCCTCGAACTGGATTTTGTAGGCTGACCAGGAAGAAGTCCCGTCGAACGTTGGCACCTTGAACCCACGTAGCGAAGGTGTAGTAGCTACTACGGGAGCTGTAGTTCCATCCCCAAGTTTACTACTTACTATTGTACGCTGGTGTTCTGTGCAAGCGCTTCAAATAAAGAAAGTGTAGTTTTGCAGCACAGACACTAACCAAAAACGTAAAATTTTATAAAATATTCCTACGCTCACATTTAACTAGTCCTAACTACTACCTGTACTGTTAAATAATTAATAGAATACAAGTTCAGGTGTATTTAAGAGCAGCTTCAAAATTAGCTATCTAACTTAACTCTTATTAACTGTTTTAAGAAAGAACTAGCTGATCACAGTACATGTTGTCCAGCCAGTTAACTTCATAGGTTGTGTTGAGCAACGTTGTTTATTTTCTCGCATACAATTTAATTTATTAAGTTTTAATTTTTTTAGTTTATAAATATAAACTTTCACCATTGAAAAATACATAAATATATATATCAATTTTCCCAAATAGATTTTGAGTTAAACAATTTTAATATATACAAACATCCTCTTTTAAATATAGATTAAATAAAAAACATACCGTAATTCTATTTTTGGTGTGGATCCGAACATGTTTGGCGAGGTGATCAGACCTCATGAAACGTTTACTGCACTCGGGACACTCGAAGCGTTTCTCTCCCGTATGCGTTCTTCTGTGCCTTTGCAGCTCATCAGAGCGAGTGAATCTGCATAAACCAATCCATAAATAATATAAACAAAGTCGAGTTAATCGACATTAATATGTATTTTTATACAATGTTAGAAATAACAACCTATAAAATATTCCACTGTAGAGCACAGGACTACTCTCATTAGTAAGATAAGATAAAAAAAACAACATTTACATTCTTTTAGTATTTCTCATTCAACTACATAGGCCGAAGTGGCAATGGGCCAGCCATATTGGAGATTGGGAAAAGTGTTTGAGCGGCAGCTCCATGTCAGTAAGCAAAAGTGACAGCCGCCAATAACATGGGAGTGAAAGAAGTCAAATGATGCAAGTGGCTCAGGACAGTGGTTTGTGGAATTATTTGAAGGAGATCATGATCAGTAGTAGATTTATGAAGGGCCAACTCAAAGAACTGTCTGTCTGGTCCTGCAATCATTATTCAATCTGAGACAATGTCAAATATGGCTATACCCTTCGTCCAGTAGATTATAATATTGATCTTATTGGTCACTTTTTTTAAACAAAAACAAAATATCTCGCTACGACTCGGTAGCACGAGCCGATACAAAACATCTCTATGATGAGCAACATTTTCGATGGGGTTGAAACTTTTAAATACTTAACTAAATTAGGGTCTACATTAACTTCCCAAAACAGCACATCAGAACAAGAATAGTCGCGGGTAATAAATGCTTTTATTCATGTAAAAAGCTACTTAACTCCAAAATACTGAGCAGAAAATCCAAACTCATCATCTACCGGAGGATCATAAGACCTGTTGTGGCTTACGCATGCGAAACCTGGACATTTACACACAGGGACGCAGCCAGACTGGCGGTATTTGAGACGAAAGTGCTCAGAAACATATTTGGACCAGTCCGTGAATCTGTTGGCACGTATCGCCAGCGCATGAATCACGAGATGATGATGATTATTAGAGATGATGCTCTTATAGGACGTGAGACCATCGTAAGGTTCTGTAAGTCACAGCGGCTGAGATGGGCGGGCCACCTGGAACGAATGCCGGATTCTAGGGCCGTGAAAATCATGACCAGGTGGACTCCCCAGCAAAAGAAACCAAAAGGCAGGCCAAAAAAACGTTGGGTAAAAAATGTGGAAGAAGATCTGAGAAGAATGGGTAAATACACCAACTGGCGCAGGGAGTCGAAGGATCGCGACAAGTGGAGGAATATTGTGGAGGAGGCCATGGCCCACAAAGGGCTGTAGCGCCACAGGATCGATAGATATCTCACCTCTTATATTTTACCTACTTTCATTAACGAGTCTGAACAGAATTACGGCTGTGTATAATAAAGTAACAGCCCCAGTAACTTAAGTGATGTTTAGATCTGAAAGTCTTAGTTCATGTGCAATAACAATTCACACTAAACACAATGGCACAAGGCAGTCAAGGGAAAAATTTAAACAAAACCTAAACCCAAATTCAAAAATTGTCAATTTTTTTTCCCAGTATGAAAGAACGCAATATTATATAAAAACAAAGGAAATTCGAGAAAGAAAAACAATTCAAAACTTTTTTTTAATAGCCTGTTTCATGATACTAATGTTTATGCCACTACGCCGGGTAATTATTACAGGAGAAATTAAACCTATATTTGTGTTGTCTAAATTTGTCCATGAATGTAGTTTATTTGCAAAATGAGTAGGTAGTTATAATTTAAAATATATGGATGTCTCAGAGCTATATACTAGCATAGAGTCCTAAAATAGAAACAAAATTCTTATAGCTAAATTCTTTATTCACGTGACACTTAACATAGTACAAAATAAGATAGCTATGTTTTCCTCATCTTCTTTCTTTTACAAGGTTGTTGCCTTTTTCCATACCATAGATACCTTGACACTAAGCCATGAGTTTTAATCCAAAAGCGGTAAGCCTTATATATTGGAACTTTTCCTTAACATCTACATTTATTCTTGATTGAGAACCAAAATGCAGATGCATTGTCATCGCTGAAGATTAAGGCGACACCGTGAAAAAATGCACCTCCTTTCATCGAATAGTATAGGACTATGACACCACTAACGAAAGTGAAATTTTGATATGAATAAATTCATGTCTTTATCTTGAATCTGATTATTCAAAAACACGATTGTATAATTTTGACTCGATCATAATTATTTGCGAAAACACCTCTAAAAATCACTATAGTTGAAATTACAACGAAATTTCTTAATCTATATGATTGGGAATAACTCAAATATATTCATAACATCAATATTCGTAATTTATTTGTTCATTATTTTGATTACCTAAATCAATAATTTTTTAAAAAATATTTTAAGAATCTGACAATTTCTAAGCATTTTTAATCGTCGCGGGCGCTACGCAATTTTAGACCTTATGACGGCGTTTTTTCAAATTTTTATAGAAATTATGTATTCACTCGGATTAGTACGGCGATAGCCTTTTCAATGTGTCGTCTTAAGATAGATTCGCCTTGTTACCAGCAAAAAAGTTCTCCCGTTCTAGTCACTTATTCTACAAAACACGAAATATTAATAATATACCTTTTACCACAGAAGAGCCAGTTGCATAGGAATGGCCGTTCTCCAGAATGCCATCGCAAATGCGCCCTGAGATGTGACGTCTTGCCGTACACCTTGTTGCAGCCTGGGATGTGGCACACGTGCTGCTTCTTACGGTCAACTAAACGGCTGTAAAAAATACAATTTCATATAATAAATCCTGACTTTTTACAAAATTAACATAAACAGAAAGTTAAAAAAATGACATACAGTCTGAATTTGCTACTTTTAGTTGTGTTTTAAAACTCAACTAGCTTTCAGTTATAAGCTTGTAAGTTAGATTAGGCTTTTTACATTTTACTACAATAGTTTATTGATAGTCTCAGGGTTAAGCCACAGCCTAAGAAGAACATACAGTCAGTCATCGCGTTTTATGTTGAGGTACGAACAAACATAAATTCCTAGGGTTGTCAGAACGGGAAGTAATAAAATAATTTAAAAAAAAAAACTGATTTTATTTTATTTCACATTAAAACAAATTCCTATGTGTGTGGAAGTGATGAAACTTATCTTTAATGGGGATGACTCACAGCTTTTTACTGCACATGTACTCGTAGTGTGAACCATTTTAATTTGTTTGCGTGACAAACGTAGTGTTTGTGATTTGTTTGTGTGCAAAAATGCACAGCAATTATTTCTAATGCAAAAAAAATTATAAAAATCTTGGCAAACATAAAAATTCCAGAAAGTTGTAATAAGCCCTACCATCAAAAAGTTTAAAATTTTGACTTTGACGTCTATTTATATTTGGGAAACCTGCAAATTTGTAAATAACCCAGAACTATTTACCAAATGAAGTGAAACAAATTACAAATACTCAATTAGACCAAATAGTCCCTAGTCCCTACTGTATGGCAGTTAAAATTTTCAATAACCTTCCAAATGACATAAAAAATTTAACAAGTACTGTATATTATTTTTATCCAAATTGAAGTATATTTAATTGAAAAACGTTTCTATAATTTAAATGAATATTTTAATAAAAATATTATTTAATTTGTGTGGACAACTTCGGCCTGTACCTACCTAATTTAATTTAAATTTTTTACTTAATTATATAAAATATAATACTTATTTTTATTTATAATAATAATTATTATTTTTTTACTTGACATTGTGATTATTAATTTAATTAAATTTACAGAAAAATAATATAATCTAATAATGTAATTTATTAATGAAATCTAATGTTGTAGTTTAAAAATAATATTTAATATTTTTATAATTGCTACGCCCTAACTGGGTTCAAATGCGGACTATTTTTTTAAAAAAACACATCTACTGTTACAATTTGATTGCAATAAAGATTATGGGTATGTTCCGAAATACAACGCAGTGTACTGTCCAATGCAAATAACGTATCGTTTGACACTTTATTGTACTAGCGTGCCGCCGCCATATTGTGTCGGATATCCGGCCATAATAAAACAATTTTTAATTGTGTGTTTGCCGAATGAAGCATGCCAGAATTTGTTTCTATTTATTCAAATACAAAAAATTATAGAATAATTGATGGTATATCTATTAGGTGGATATAATGATTTTTGGAGCACAAAATGACAAAATAATCGCCAACACTTTTCCAAATGGCGCAAAAGTATGACGTCATATACTGTCCAATGTTTTGGAACGAATCACCAGTATAGCGTCGATTCATGACGTCATTTGCATTGGACAGTACACTGCGTTGTATTTCAGAACATACCCTATGATTATGAACCCTAGCGGACAGCTCCGCCTACGTCTCGCCCCGTACCGCAAGATTGCCCTGTATATACAGACGCCTTCGATAACCGACTGTGAGTCGTAGTTAGACTGTGCTTTAAGAATAGTCCTACAGCAATGTGCATCATAGGAACTCTATTTTTAATTCGTGAAGCAGCAGTACCCATTACAATGGTAATGGAAACAGGAATGGTGTAGTGACTTCTCCGGTACTAATTACATTGGTAATGGTACGTCACTTCACTAAAGGCCGCAGTAGTAAAGTCGGGTGTCGATACTCACTTCTCGCCCTGGTCGCAGTTGGGGCAGGTGCAGGCGACGCGCTTCATCAGCCGCTTGCCGGTGGGGCTGGCGGCGCGCATTTTGTTCTCGCACTCGCCGCCCGCGTTACTGACGGTCACCACCTGCCATTTGCCTGGCTCGTTCGACTCCTGCTGGATTTGCTGGCCCGTGTATGTTGTTGTTTCTACAAGTTGTTATCTTAATGAGTCACTCACATACTATATGATGTGACATCATATTATATTATGAAAAAACAAATTCACACTGTAATTTCTTAATTATGGGAATTTATCCCATTTCAATTACGTGAAGTTTCCTATGTCTTAAATGCTTTCCGATACCCATTTTCGCAAGAAGTTTGAGGTTTCTGACATCCAGGTATTGTTTCAAATTATTTAAGCTAAAAGGATACAAATATATGTTTAATAATTTATTGCTTGGTGGGTTATTCCATTTATCCACTCTATGATGTATAATACCTTATTGCACTAATATATATAGATGGATTTTTTTTTCTGAAAACACTACCTTACGGCAAGTGAACAGTATAACACTTCCAACATCGAAACAGATACTTGATGGTAAATAAAATATGTGTCAGTATGTGCAACACTCCTCTCATCAACTCATAGCGTATACAATTTTAATTGGTGCAATTACGTACATACAATCTTACAGTCCATGGGCACGTGCAGCCAACTTCAAGCAAAAAAAGCTAGAGCTACTAATTGCACAGTCACCTCTGAAGACAAGATGAAATGCCTCACAGCCTGTAACCATACTGGCTCTATACCCTTCAGACTGGCAAACAGCAGTGCAAGTGCTACTATTTGGCTGCAGACATTGGTGATAACTACCCAGGTGAACTGCTAGCCAGCAAATGAGTTCCACCACTTAATAAATGTGAAGTAAACAATGTTACAGTTGCAGCCTGTTAAAATCCATTGCTAAACAAATGACTCCCCCGTAGATTGCCTCATAGGGTGGATATTTGCCATAGTTGCCACACTTGGGAAGGGAGGTTAGCAACTAGTTTTTTTTATTTTTTGTCATCATTAGAAAGACGCTGCTGCCCATCTCCTGAGTTGTTTCCCTCTGTCGTCTCCTACTCATACCACACCCACTGGACGATATGGTGTTGTGGATTATTTTACACCACCACTACAGGGAAATAAATGCAAACGTGTACATTGTAAGTATAAAATATAATCACTAGTTACCAATAACAGGTTGCTGCTGTGTCTGCTGCTGCTGCTGCGGCTGCTGCATTTGCGCAAGCTGCACGCCCGGCATCACGGCGGGCACCAGCTGCACAGCGCCACCGAGCCCGCCCACACCCAGCGTTGGTACCTGCGCCCAACAAAATTCATAAAAATGCGCCCTACAAAATTCATAAAAATACGCCCAATATATCACATATTTCAATAAAACGGCTGATTGTAAGCAGAATCTTCAATCAGATAAAAATCTTTCCAAAAATATAAAGCCGATGAATGTAAGAATCAGAATGGATGTAAGTACCATGTAGTGGCAGTGTAATATTCACTGCCCCATATCGTCCTGTGAGTGTCGAAAGGCAACAGAGAAAAACGGAAACAGGAGATGGGTAGTAGCATCTTCCAATAACAAAAACAAAATAATTTTTAAAAAAACTGCAGTTGCCAAACCGCCTACCAATCTTGGCAGCTACGGCAGGCCCTATGAAGCACTTTATGGGGGAGGCCTATGTTCAACAGTGACTATAATAGGCTGTGATGGATGGATATGGATATAGATGCAATGCCAACATATTCAATTATGGACTTAATGTTGAATTTAGTATACATCATATTAGCAGGATAATTAAGATGAACAAGTGATTATGTTTGTGTGTACATACACTTGCGGATATCTCGTGCATAGTTGATAGCTTATGAATATTCAGAAGTTCATAAATCAAACAGGAGAAATTATAATTATCATATACATTATATTATAATTATCACACTGAGTGGCCAAATTATACTCAAAACGATTTCTTTATATTTTGTCAACTTACGCTATGAAAGACAATAGTCATATGGTTTCTAAAGTTATATATATATTTTAATACTATTAAACGTTTTTATGAATAAAAAGTGAACTTGTTTATAGAGGTTTAATAGCGTATTGAAAGAGAAATATTATATTTCTATAAGTATTTTGTTATTCCGCCCTTAACTTTTATGACGGCTTGAACACGTGGCATGCTCTCAATGAATGATATGGCTACTTCTTGGGAGCTTTGGAGTCTAGTGCCAGACTCTGATGATGTTCTCAATTAGTTCTCTTTTGTTGGTTATTATTCCTTGAGATTTCAGCTGCCCACACGTATTCTATAGGATTCAAGTCGGGTGGGTTTCCGGCCAGTCCAGGGTGTTAATCTGATTATTTTGTAGGTATTGTGTAACAGATTTAGCTTTAAGATAGGGGGCGGAGTCGTGCATGAATATAAAATTAGCATTAGGGAACCATTCTGCCATCTGTGGATCAGTTTTTCCTCCAGAACTTTTTTATACTGATCCAGACGCATCATTCCTTGTACGATATACAGTCTTACAGTCCCTTTACTGCTGATGAAGGACCATATCATCACTGAAATGGGATGCTAGACACGTTCCACAATGCAGTCTTCATTGAATTTTTCATGCCTTCTTCGCCAAACAAACTCAGTTTTATCCTGAAGAATCTGTATTGACGACTCGTCTGAGGAGAACAGACCTGCAAGATATTGTTTATGTTTAAATTTATAAAGAAACAAACTATAAATATGTATCAGGGATATCCAACCTTGCTCCAGTCTTCCTGTGTCCAGTGTCGATGCTCTTTGGCCCAGGCCAGACATTTGAGCTTCATGGCAGGAGTAAGTTTTCGTTTTTTCTGTGGTCGATAACATTTTAGCCACATCTCTTCAAATCACACCATTTTTTTAATGACGATTCTTGGCTTTTGGGCGGTTTTCAAGTGTAATGCGACATATTTCACGGTATCAGTTCGAGGTGTTGTATTGCATTTTCGACCACATTTGGCGACTCGACCCACCATGATGGGTTCTTCAGCATGCAGTTTTTTCTTGATATTACGCACACTGGACTGTGATCAAACAAATCGCCTTTATGACTCCAGAGTCATAAAGCCGATTTGTTTGATATACCCAGATATATTGACAATGCCGTAACATCGTCGAAATCTGTGCCTTTTTCATTGGTGTGAGATCAGGACACTTCCCCATATTTGTAAAATACACATTTTTAGGTTAGGTTCGTTAACACCTCAAAAAAATTGTATACGAGTACGAACAAAAACATATCAGCAATGTATTTTTTTAAAAAAATTATAAACAATACTATAAACATTACTAATATTCCCCTTAACCACTCGTGGTAAGCTTAAATTGCTTGTTGTTGCTTGTTGTATTGATCAAATATTAGAATAATCCTAAATGTCTAACACTATCATATACACCTATCTAACACTTACCGAATATGTGAGTCGAAAACACTGAATTGAAAACAAATACATCTCACAGGTCAGCACAGAACAATTTTGACATGCACTGACATTAGCAACCGCCCTTTTGAAAATAATACAAAAATATGTTACCATATTAATTAAAGGCTTGCGAGAATAGTAGCTATTCAGTAAATTAAAAAATATTAAAATTATTGCAATAATTAGTTAATTACGGCCACCAGTTTCACGGATTGTGATGAATTTTTGTTTGAGTATAATAATTTGGCCACCCACTGTACATTAAGTTTTTTACAAAACCACAGGGACAATTAGTTTATTGTCTTTTAAAGTTTTTAAGTTTTGGAGAAGAAGATTTTCTAAGGACAGTCTTATAATAAGTTAAGCAATAAGTGAAGAGTAGAGTGCCCCCACTGGATGGAGTGACAATGAAGTTGATGGATGAAGGTGGCTCAGGACAGTACTCTTGTGGCATTCCTTAGGGGGATGATGGAGATCATAATGAGGTTTTTGACATGGAAATCATTTAAAAATTGATGGTGAAATACTTCACAAGAGGAAAATCAGTTAATAATTTACTATTAGCAATTGAAAATTAACAAATAAAAATAAATTAACTAGCTAACTAATTAATACCCAATCCCTGCAACTAATTAACATGTACAATAAAGTGTGATTCAAAAGTAATGGTAAATACATTTTACAACTTTTTATAAAACACATAATAAACAAAAAAATAGTATTTGTCTAAAATAAACATATTGCTTTGAGTATTGAATACTCAAAGACATATTGTAAAGCACAAGTTTAATCATTCAATTATCTTAATATGTATAAATTACATGTCATGTTGTTGTCTGCGATGGACTCCTAAACTACTTAACCGATTTTGATCAAATTTGTAGTGTGGTCCAACTTGAGAGATAGGATAGATTTTTTTGCCAATTTCTTTTTAAATAAGAAAAGGGTGACAAGAGAGCACACAGTCAACCTGATGGTAAGTGTTTGCTGTGGCCCATAGATATCTACATCTATCCTCATTTGCGAATCAAAATGCAGATGCGGTCAGTTTTGGGGACTAAGATGGAATGCCTCTTTTCCAGTAAAAAGGGTCTCCAGTTCTATACACTCACCATACAAAACACAGCAGCATTATGCTGCTATTTGATGCTGGTATTCTGTGAGAGCATGGTGCTTCCCCCGTCGAGCCAACCCATTTGTGCTCCAACTATACAATTAATATAGCTGCAGCATGGCTCTACCACATAAAACTGAGTACCACATAGAAATGAGTGACCCACAATTTTTATGCGAATTTAAGGATTTTTAATAAGACAAGACAAAGAGTCGTCAAAAAGAGCAGAACAATGTCTGCCTGGCAAGCTAGTATATTAAGTAGATTTAGACACACACAAAGTGCACAGTGCTTGTTTTTATACAACTTAATAAAATAAAGAATAAATTTAATATTAGTAAATTTAATGTAAAAGTAAGACAATTATGCACATTTTAATATCAATTACATAAATAAATATTAAGATATATTTTATTTAAAAAAAAGATCAAATGCTGTAAATAAGCATAACTCACCTAACACAATATTTATATACATATAAAATAGTAGGATTAGTAAGCTGAAGTGGCAATGGGCCTGCCATATAGCTCGAAGAACTGACAACTGTTGGGGAAAAAAGGTTCTCGAGTGGCAGCCTCGTACCGGTAGCCCCCACTAGATGGAGTGACGACCTGGTAAGACATGCAGGAAGTCGATGGATGCAGGTGGCTTAGGACCGTGCTTTGTGGCATACCTTGGGGGAGGCCTATGTTCAGCAGTGGACTTGTGAAGGGCTGTAATGATGATGATAGAAAATACTATTTATAATATGAATTATTAGTACGATAACATTAAAATAAAGAAAAAATAACAATAAATGATAAATAACCATGGATGAATGATAGAATATGAATTAGTGGAAAGATTGAGTACAGGTGCATAGTTTAGGCTTGACCTTTTGCCTTTTGACATTTTGCAATAAAGATCAATAAGGTGAAGATTTGCATTTCCTAAAGAGATATTTCGTAATTAGGATCAGTCAGTGACCACACAGGCATATTCCTAATGTGCTTAGAAATCAAGTATTTACCTACATTAAAAATTCTATTTATTTCCAAATATTAAATTAAGGCTTTTGTTTAATTTTATTATTTACTTTTATTTATAATTAAACTTCATTAACCCATTTAGGCCCAATTACAAACCACAAGAATTTTTTTGAAAAAAACTTTATTGACGTTAGTACTGGAGGCTATTAAGAGATTTTATTACAAAAAATTAAAAAACAAAAACTTTCTTCTGTATAAAAAAACCCTCCTCTGGCCAATTAGGGTATTTTTCAGAACATTTGTTTTGATGCAAAATGTTTTGATGCAATTCTTACATTGCCAACATGCTTTCATGTGGCATTCTACGCATCGTAGCTGGCTTGCCAGTTCCTGAGAGAAGTGTCCAACACCATCAAGACTCATACTGAGCAGTTCTGAAGAAGGTTTACGATGCCTTCCATCGGGTCTATCAGTGACTACAGCCATCAAGTTACGGTTACGGGCCATACTTCGGCTAAACTGGAGCTGCTCTAGTTTGTTTTCAGTGGTCAGGGCGTCGAGACGCTAAACATTAGATGGGTCATATTGAGCATGTAGGTACACGGAACCCACCAACATTTTTTGCCTCGTATAGCTGTTCTGTATATTGCCATTGACTGGTCAGCTTGATCAACTCCGCCCATACCTTTGTTGTAGTTTTGGAACACAAAAATGTCCACAACTACCTTTCTTTCTTCTGCAGAGCTTCATCTTCTTGT